ATATTCGTTTCTTTTTTTCTGAATGGTGTAAATTTTTCCATGTTTTGATTTTAGACGATTGGATTTGTTTCATTTTTAGTTTGTGCAAATATTTAATTTATGACTTTGTCGATATTTCTTGCAACGATCGTGTGCCAGACATTAAAAAAAGGCAGCTTTTGTGGCAGTAAGATAGACCTTGTTATAAAAAGCGAATAAAGAAAAGAAATAAATCAAAAGACTGTTAAATAACACTTAGAATGAATGGATTTTAAAGAAGGGAGAGAGGTTTAAAGGATTGACTGTTCTAGTACGATCGATTGTAATTCAGTTCTAGTTCAGTTTTAGGTCGGCTCTTGTTCAGTTCTAGTTCAGTTCTAGTTCAGTTCTAGTTCAGTTCTAGTTCAGTTCTAGTTCAGTTCTAGTTCAGTTCTAGTTCAGTTCTAGTTCAGTTCTAGTTCAGTTCTAGTTCAGTTCTAGTTCAGTTCTAGTTCAGTTCTAGTTCAGTTCTAGTTCAGTTCTAGTTCAGTTCTAGTTCAGTTCTAGTTCAGTTCTAGTTCAGTTCTAGTTCAGTTCTAGTTCAGTTCTAGTTCAGTTCTAGTTCAGTTCTACTTTAGTTCTAGTTCAGTTCTAGTTCAGTTCTGGTTCAGTTCTAGTTCAGTTCTAGTTCAGTTCTAGTTCAGTTCTAGTTCAGTTCTAGTTCAGTTCTAGTTCAGTTCTACTTCAGTTCTAGTTCAGTTCTAGTTCAGTTTTAGTTCAGTTCTAGTTCAGTTCTAGTTCAGTTCTAGTTCAGTTCTAGTTCAGTTCTAGTTCAGTTCTAGTTCAGTTCTAGTTCAGTTCTAGTTCAGTTCTAGTTCAGTTCTAGTTCAGTTCTAGTTCAGTTCTAGTTCAGTTCTAGTTCAGTTCTAGTTCAGTTCTAGTTCAGTTCTAGTTCAGTTCTAGTTCAGTTCTAGTTCAGTTCTAGTTCAGTTCTAGTTCAGTTCTAGTTCAGTTCTAGTTCAGTTCTAGTTCAGTTCTAGTTCAGTTCTAGTTCAGTTCTAGTTCAGTTCTAGTTCAGTTCTAGTTCAGTTCTAGTTCAGTTCTAGTTCAGTTCTAGTTCAGTTCTAGTTGAGTTCTAGTTCAGTTCTAGTTCAGTTTTAGTTCAGTTCTAGTTCAGTTCTAGTTCAATTCTAGTTTCGTTCTAGTTCAGTTCTAGTTCAGTTCTAGTTCAGTTGTAGTTCAGTTCTAGTTCAGTTCTAGTTCAGTTCTAGTTCAGTTCTAGTTCAGTTCTAGTTCAGTTCTAGTTCAGTTCTAGTTCAGTTCTAGTTCAGTTCTAGTTCAGTTCTTGTTCAGTTCTAGTTCAGTTCTAGTTCAGTTCTAGTTCAGTTCTAGTTCAGTTCTAGTTCAGTTCTAGTTCAGTTCTAGTTCAGTTCTAGTTCAGTTCTAGTTCAGTTCTAGTTCAGTTCTAGTTCAGTTCTAGTTCAGTTCTAGTTCAGTTCTAGTTCAGTTCTAGTTCAGTTCTAGTTCAGTTCTAGTTCAGTTCTAGTTCAGTTCTAGTTCAGTTCTAGTTCAGTTCTAGTTCAGTTCTAGTTCAGTTCTAGTTCAGTTCTAGTTCAGTTCTAGTTCAGTTCTAGTTCAGTTCTAGTTCAGTTCTAGTTCAGTTCTAGTTCAGTTCTAGTTCAGTTCTAGTTCAGTTCTAGTTCAGTTCTAGTTAGTTCTAGTTCAGTTCTAGTTCAGTTCTAGTTCAGTTCTAGTTTAGTTCTAGTTCAGTTCTAGTTCAGTTCTAGTTCAGTTCTAGTTCAGTTCGATTTCAGTGCTAGTTCCAGTTTAGTTCTAATCAGTACTTGAATGTCAAACTCTTTTCCAGATCTGTGATTCACAACAACAATTTTGGTAATTTTTTTATATTTTTTATTGTAAAAATCCTCAAAAGGGTTTAAATTTTCCGATTTCATTTTGTTTTACCAAACTAGAAGGAGGCGTCAGTAGTTTTCGCTCATTGCTAATGACTTACTGATTTTGCTTATTTTACACCAGTTTTTTTTTTTTCTTAAATTTTCTTTGATAAATAATAAATATATTGTTATGAATCTAAATGATTTATGTATTTTGTTGATGCTGTTTAGTTGTATGATTTTTCTTCCATTTTCCATACATATTTTATGATCTTGGGAATAATTTTCAGTTTCATTCACCAACCATTCTCTAACATACACAACTGGCCATAGAGGTTGTTGTTTAAGTAAGCTTTTCTTGCTTCAATGATGATGACGATAATTATTTATTTTTGTTTTTTTTTTTTGTTTAAATTTTGTTGTAATGTTAAGGGAAATGTCATTTCGTGCCATTTTTTTGGTTCTTTAATTTTAGTTTCAATTTATAAGGTTGTTAAGTATTTGTTGTAGTTTTTGTTTCTTTAGTATCTTGTTAGCAAAGACATAATCATTAGTTATTATTAACTGGCCCTTTAAATTTATGTTTTTGTTGTTGTTGTATTATTTTTGACAAAGTTCTAATCTGTCTTGTTGTAGTTCGTTTTTCCCTTCTTTTGTAAGTATTTTATTGGGTCAATCAGATACGACGAAACTGTGTAATTTTGTGGTAAGTTTAAATGTTGCAATCATTTATTATAGAAAATACAACAAATAATTGTTAAAAATTTTTATAAAATAAATAATGAATGAATAAATATTGTCTTTAATAATTTTGATGTAATATATCGTGCGTGTTTGGATGAAATCTTCTTGAAATTTAGAAAAAAAAATCTTCAAATAATTTTACAATGTTTGTCCAAGATAATTATATAAAATTGAAGGTTTGATTAAACAGATAAGAAATTTTGTCCAATTGCGCAGAAAAAGTTAAACCTGGAGTTTATGTACAGTTAAGTCTATATGTTTCTTCCTATTGATCACTAACACACAAAAGTTATTTCAGTTACATTTAAAATTTTCCCACAATATTTTATTATTTGTTCATAATAATAAGAAGAAAAAAAACGCAAAGAATTCATATTTATTCATCTACTCAATATGTTTTGTCTTTATTGTTCAGAACAAATCACGTTTTCGTCAAATATCTAATAAAAAAGTTTTACCAAGAAAAGAAGCAACAATTTTGATAACATACATACAGAAATAGAAAAACAACTTGATCATGATTATGAAGATCATAAGAAACATGAATAAAACTAATAATTTTATGAGTAATTTCAAATAATGAAATAATAGATAAAATTCAAGATTTCAAACTAAAATGTAGTGAAGAAAAGATCAAATGATCATTGTATGATTTGCAAGTAGATCACATAACGAGCGACAAACTAAATAAATTATTAGAAAAAAACGAATTTTTAGAAAAAAATTGAATATTTAGTGAAAAATTGAATTTTTAGTGAAAAATTGAATTTTTAGTGAACAATCGAATTTTGAATGAAAAATCGAATTTTTAGTGAATAATCGAATTATTGAATAATCGAATTATTAGTGAAAAATCGAATTTTTAATAAAAAATCAAATTTTCAGTGAAAAATCAAATTTTCAGTGAAAAATCAAATTTTTAGTGAAAAATCAAATTTTTAGTGAAAAATCAAATTTTTAGTAAAAATCAAATTTTTAGTGAAAAATCGAAATTTTAGAGAAAAATTAAATTCTTAGTGAAAATTTAAATTTTTTTATTTTTAGTATAATCGTTAGTCCACAATGCATATTAGTCTATAGTCCAGACTATAGTCTGGACTATAGACTAGCCTATAGTCTGGACTATAGACTAGCCTATAGTCTGGACTATAGACTAGCCTATAGTCTGGACTATAGACTAGCCTATAGTCTGGACTATAGACTAGCCTATAGTCTGGACTATAGACTAGCCTATAGTCTGGACTATAGACTAGCCTATAGTCTGGACTATAGACTAGCCTATAGTCTGGACTATAGACTAGCCTATAGTCTGGACTATAGACTAGCCTATAGTCTGGACTATAGGCTAGCCTATAGTCTGGACTATAGGCTAGCCTATAGTCTGGACTATAGACTAGCCTATAGTCTGGACTATAGACTAGCCTATAGTCTGGACTATAGTCTATAGGCTAGTCTATAGTCCAGACTATAGGCTAGTCTATAGTCCAGACTATAGGCTAGTCTATAGTCCAGACTATAGGCTAGTCTATAGTCCAGACTATAGGCTAGTCTATAGTCCAGACTATAGGCTAGTCTATAGTCCAGACTATAGGCTAGTCTATAGTCCAGACTATAGGCTAGTCTATAGTCCAGAATATAGGCTAGTCTATAGTCCAGACTATAGGCTAGTCTATAGTCCAGACTATAGGCTAGTCTATAGTCCAGACTATAGGCTAGTCTATAGTCCAGACTATAGGCTAGTCTATAGTCCAGACTATAGGCTAGTCTATAGTCCAGACTATAGGCTAGTCTATAGTCCAGACTATAGGCTAGTCTATAGTCCAGACTATAGGCTAGTCTATAGTCCAGACTATAGGCTAGTCTATAGTCCAGACTATAGGCTAGTCTATAGTCCAGACTATAGGCTAGTCTATAGTCCAGACTATAGGCTAGTCTATAGTCCAGACTATAGGCTAGTCTATAGTCCAGATTATAGGCTAGTCTATAGTCCAGACTATAGGCTAGTCTATAGTCCAGACTATAGGCTAGTCTATAGTCCAGACTATAGGCTAGTCTATAGTCCAGACTATAGGCTAGTCTATAGTCCAGACTATAGGCTAGTCTATAGTCCAGACTATGGTCTAGTCGATTGTCCAGACTATAGTCTGTTCTATAGTCCAGACTATAGTCTAGTCTATTATGTCTATTATGGACTACTCTCTAGTCCAGACTATAATCCCACATAAAACTAGCCCCAAATGTAACCCATTCTATAGACTCCACTATAGATCACTCTATTATCTTATCCCTAGTCTAATATATAACGTAGTGTCTAGGTTGGCTACAATCGAGTCTATAGACTCTACAGTTGTCTAGTCAATTCTATAGCTATTAGTAATATAACTGTTTCTCTTTCATTTGCAGCTATACCGCCAGCCGCCTTAATTGTAATTATCAGTTCTATCCAAATACCATTTCAAAATAACGCACGACCATGCAAATACTTGTAGCGAATAAAAATAGAACAAAAACTCCCGCATCATGGTCATCATCTCTGGACCATTTAAATAATAATAATAATGATTTCAAAATATAATGTATGTGGAATGGCACTATATGTTTCACTCAAGCAAACACAGATGATCGGCTAATGTTGCATGAAATTGATCTTCACACCTTAAATAAAGAAAGAAATCTAAAAACGCAACAATGAGAACTAAATACTCAAGCTGTGTATGTGTTAAGGCATTTAAAATCATCATGATCACCTCTGATATAATAGCCGATGAGCGGGGTATCACATGAAGATCATAGCAGATGATCATGTCTAAGATGATGATGAGCCACTATTTTATTTGAAGAAATTTTAACAAAAGCCATCAAAGCTAAAGATGATTAACTCTCATAAAAATCTAAGGAACAACAAACGTCAGCATGAGCTTTTATAAAAACTAGTGATCATGGCCCCCAAATAAGATCACATCACATGTT